AGCTGTTGCTTTATGTTCTTTTTCTCAAAGACATGGTGAGTTAATTGTCTCGACATTAAGATGATAGCAGTCTTTGAAATAAATTCCTCTAAGGATCAATAGTTCTCTGTTAAGGTTATTTGCATATGAATGAATAGTTAATTTATCTGTTAAACTAAATAATAATATGAGAAAACAAATGCAAGTCTGGTGTATCTTTTGTTCAGTATCCTAATTTTCAATTTAAAATAAAAACGAATCATACAACTAGTCTTGCTATTTTGCACTTGCTGACACTTACCTCTTCTTGTTTAGCGATGAATAGAATTTTAAGTGTTACAGGTGACCTCTAAAGTTTCTGGAATCTCTAAACTGAACACCCTCATTTTGTAGAAAAAGGAAACCAAAGAGGCCTTCTGAGTTACTTACTACCATATAGCTAATTATAAATGAAACGTATTTTAGTTATACATTATGTTGTTATATATCACAACTATTATGTTTTCAAATATAGTGTCATACATTCTGTTGTGGGGTTTTAGGACCCAATTTTACTTAATTTAAGAATGTGGTATGAAGTTTCTGTTCTAGCAGCCAATATTTTTTGCATTTTCCTATTGCAAACAAACAAACAAACAAAACCTCTGTTGTGTTTTAGAAGTATTTTTTTTACTTTCCTTCTCAGAAAATATATGCAGACTATTTTACTGAGGCTTATTTACATAACTATCTATTTATTGTTGACATATAAAAAGCTCTTAGAGGAAAAAGAAAACAATTGGCAAAGATTTCTTCGGGCAACAGTATTATTCGATTTCTTATTTATACTCTGTCAAAGAGCTGATGTTTCTTAGATGTGAGTGACAACAGCACAAACAAATGGAAGGCAAGATAGGGATCGTGAATTTTTTGCAATATTCATTGACCTATGTTTTTATTTTGCTTAGGCCTTAATTTTTTTTTTTTTTTGTCTGAAATGTGCTGTTGTTCCTGGTTTAACAGTTATTGACTCTTTGGTAAAGAAAGGTAATGGCTAAATTTTTTTCTGATAAAAAAATATTGAGCAATCTTACCCTACAACCCAATAATCTCACTACTGGGTATTTACCCTAAAGATACAAATGTAGGGATCCAAAGGGGCATGTGCACCTGAATGTTTATAGCAGCAATCTCCACAATAGCCAGACTATGGAAAGAACCTAGATGTCCATCAACAGATGAATGGCTAAAGAATGGAATACTACGCAGCCATCAAAAGAAATGAACTTTTGCCATTTGCAATGATGTGGATGGAACTAGAGGGTATGATGCTAAGCAAAATAAGTCAATCAGAGAAAGACAATCATCATATGATCTCTCTGATAAGAGGAATTTGAGAGGCAGGGCGGGGGGTTTGGGGGCTAGGGAAGGAAAAATGAAACAAGATGGGATCAGGAAGGAGAAAAACTATAAGAGACTTCTAATCTCACAAAACAAACTGAGGGTTGCTGGGGGTAGGAGAGGTAGGGAGAGGGTGGTTGGGTTATGGACATTGGGGAGGGTACGTGCTATGGTAAGTGCTATGAAATGTATAAGCCTGATGATTCACAGTCTGTATCCCTGGGGCAAATAATACATGATATGTTAATAAAAATAATTTTTAAAATATTGACCAATCTTGCTCCCTGAGTATTTTTTAAATTTCTTTTCTCTTGGTTTTATTGAATTACTTGAAATCAGATATTTAAAATGTATTACATTTTAATCCTTTGGCAAAAAAAAATAGCTTTGCAAGTTCAAAATATGAAAAATAATCTTACATCTTTAATCATAACTTTATTTTCTCCTCAGGCATCATGGAGCCAGAATCTTTATATATATATTGTATAACCACAGATGTATTTAGAATTCAACTATGTTTAAATCCATTGGATGCAATGGACCTCTTCTTGCTTCTTTTTCTTCCCAACTTGAAATTGGAAATTTTACTTAATTTTTAGCATCTCTTTCAGCATGCTGACACAAAGGGTGGACTTTTTTACCCATGTTTTGTATAGTCTGCATTTCACATCAGCTATCACAAACTGATCAAAGGTGAATTGTCTCTAAATTATGTTCTGCTATTAGCATGAATGCTACAAATTTACTAAAAGCAAACACCTATATTAAATTGCAGATGGTTTGTAAGATCTTGATAAATGACAACTGTGGCAGACAGAGTCACTTCTGCCTCAGCTAATTACCACTGGGGCTAACAGCACTTGGTATTTCTCTGCATAGCTCATTTGAGACTTGGTACCTCTCTGTGATCAGTGTTGGGGGACTGCAGTTGCCTCTTATGGAAACAAAGTCAATTACAGAATTTCATTGTATAGCTTATGATTTAGAGTAGAATTAGAATTTGTTGGCTGTAATATTTAATCCACAGGAGGCCTTAAAAATACTTTAGAAAAGAATACAATTGCTAGGAAATTCATTATTTGATGTTTGTTTTGGGAAAATAAACACTGATCAAAAGGCTCAAATAAGAAAGCAGTCAGTTGGAAGAAAGTTTGCCAGATCCTTTTGGGTAAACATGCTGTAAGTCTTTAGAAGAAAGAGCCCGGCCATTCAACTCTTCATATTCTCTTGCCATACTTAGTACTTGCCATACTTAGTACTGCATTTGATGGGCTTAATTCCCATTTTACTCTGCACTATCTTTTAGTGGACTGATTTTCGTGTTTCGGTTTTTTTGTCCAAGAGCTTAGAGATAATGCTTAAGTGCCTAGTAGCACTTTGGGGGCAGGTGGTATAAAAAACATTATATTCCTGCTAAGGTTTGTGCCCAGTATTTCCACACTATTTGTCTTTCTGGTCATACAGTAATAAAAATTTTCACCTGATTTCCTAACTAATGTATAAGTTAATGCTACTCATTTTCAGGCTCCTGGAAAGTTTTAGTTAAAAGGGAATCTACTCAGTTCTAAGCTTTATATGTCAGAAGATAGAGGGTAAAGTTGAAATTTAAAAAGCATTATGAATAACTGAACTAATCCTCAATGAGTTAAGAAAAATAAACAAATAAAACCCTAATTTCATTTTCAAGTAATGAGCATAAAGGACCATTTACAAATGGTCCTTCAAACCAGAGCTCCAAACTGAAATCTCCTTCTGGACCAGACTGTGAATTTGTCCAAGCCCACTTTTAGCACATTCTCTTTGCCAGCTCTTCAAACCCCATTTCCTGGGCCCACTTTTCATAAGCTAATCTCTGGTGGTCCAGAACTTTCCATGTGGTATTCACTTCATTCTTGTTCTCTTTGGCATGGTGCCATGATCCAATGTTTCCAGACTTTATCACAGCAAAATCTATCAGGCCTATGTTTCATTCTCTCAAGATCTTTTCACAAGAAATTAGCTAGCTGTCCTGGGAAATTCATTAATGCTGATACCTAAAAAAATGACAATTTTATTATGTATTGTGGTTAGTGGGTAAGGCATTTGCATTTTAAAAGGCACTGTGGGAGTCACAATACCTAAAATCAATGGTTTTCAAATATTTTTTAAAATTATTATTACCTGGTAAAAAAATCCTGTTTTCAAATAAAGTTTATATAAAATAGATACAAGTGAAAATGATCTGGCTACAGCAGGGAAATAAGACTGCCTTTCTCTCATACTGGCTATCTGAGTGACTCTGGATCATCTCTGAGGAATTTCTACAGTTCCCAACAGCCTACAAACCATCCCATTAATGCAGTGGGGTAACCAATGCTGAGAATGTTAAGCATGTGGCACTTTTAGAGCAGTATTTTTCAATGGGGGGGGGTGAGGTTGCCCCCCTCAGGGATGTTTGCCAGTATCTGAAGATATTTTCGATTGTCATAATGTGGGGAAGGAAGAAGGGAGTGCTCCTGGCCTCTGGTGGGTAATACACAGGATGTTGCTAAATATCCCATCTACAATGTCGGACAGCCACCCACAGCAGAGAGTGTTGTGGTCTAAAAGGTCAAATAGTGCTGAGGTTGAGAAAGCCTGCTTTAAAGAGAGGAGGGCACCAGGAGCTGCTGGGGGAGGGTGAATTGGTCTTCCCGGAGAGGAAAGAAGACTCCAGTCCCTGGAGTCAGAGCCTCAACTGCAAAGCAGCCAGGACTTGCCTGGTGCTGGGAAAGGGAGAGAAGGAAGAAGCTTTGTAGGATTTAAAATTTTGTTATATTTGCACATTAACTAGCAGCTAGATCCAAACAAATACACTTAGCACTTAACAAAATTATTAAATAGAAAGTTACCATGTGAATTGGAACCCCCAGTGAGTGACCTCATGAATTCCAAAAGTGAGGGTCTCCTTGCCTGCGCTGGGAGAGGCACCCCAGCTGAGGCACTGGAGATGGCCCTGGTCCAGCCTAGACTCCAGGGGGCAGAGTGGAGGCCCTTGTCCAAACCTGGCTGCCTCAGGTTCTAAGCCCTTGGTCACCCTTCTTCAAGTGTTAGCAATATCTGCTGTACTCACTTGTCAGCCTGCAGGGTCATGGAGAGGCTCTTCCTTTTGGAGGGAAATCTCATCTTACTTTCAATGTATTATGGAGAAGGCAGGTTCTTCCCCATGTTCCAGATTCTCACACCAAGAAAATGCTCTCTATTCAAAACGTCTCATGCTGGGGTCCATTCTGACCTCAGACTCAGTCACTACCCGGCTCTGTTACTCAAAAGGAGATGGTCTTGAAATTTAAAAAGATAACTGAATTATTTCATTGTAAGTATTAACTCGGTTAAGGGCTTTTTGCTCAGTTCTAAATTCCTAAATAGGCTTCCTTTAAAGGCCCCAGAGGCTCCAAGTGACAGTTTTAACACAGGTCATCAATTCGAAAACACTAGAGAGTCTAAGAGAAAACATACAATAAGTCCCCCACCCCACCCCCGCAGTCATTATGTAGAAAAGAGAGAGAGAAAATCCCCTCCTCACCCCGCAGGCCCCTTTTGTGTTGTTCCTGCCAACGCAGCAGCCTCCTGCTATATAGACGCGCGCCACGGCGGCCCATCACTGACCTCCGTCACCAGCCATGGGGAAGGTGAGCCCGGCGCAGCCGCAGGCCAGGGCGGGGCCCCGCACGCTGGGGCCTGGGGCCAGGCCTCTGAGCCTTTCCCTCCCTTGCCTTGCAGATCACCTTCTACGAGGACCGCGGCTTCCAGGGCCGCCACTACGAGTGCAGCAGCGACCACCCCAACCTGCAGCCCTACTTCAGCCGCTGCAACTCGGTGCGCGTGGACAGCGGCTGCTGGATGCTCTATGAGCAGCCCAACTACCAGGGCCACCAGTACTTCCTGCGGCGCGGGGACTACCCGGACTACCAGCAGTGGCTGGGCCTCAGCGACTCGGTCCGCTCCTGCCGCCTCATCCCGCACGTGAGTCCAGCCCCCCAGGCCCTGCTGGGTCCTCCCGCCACATGAGCGCTCCAGACACGGCTTTCAGACTAGCGGGCGGCAGCCTTCTGTTGCTGCTCTATGTTCTCCTTTCCTTTCTGAATATCTCCAGGGTTTTCGTCCACTGAAAATGTGGCGCAATGCTTTTAATTTAAAGGTTTATTTTGCTTTGCTAAAATTAAATTCACCTCTACTGGGAAAATTCACGGTGTCCATGGCTCAGGTGACAAATAAAGCAACATGTTGAAACTGGTTCATCAGGTGTCCTGGGGCTAGTTCCTCGGGCTACTTCTCTCTCTTCGTTTGTAAAATGGGGCCAATAAAAGTAGCTAAATCATAGGGTCGGAATAAGGCTGACAGGGGAGTACCTAGCACATGGCAAGCCACCACTTCCCCTAAATATTAACTGTTTATGAACATCAAGTCCAGCTTTTCGTTCAGTCAAAACAAATAACCAACGAGCTGATTCCGGCAGCTCCTGCAAAACCCACTGTTCCCCAAATCAAGCCCCTGTGGCCTGAAATCCCACAGTTGGGGATTCTCTAATCTATGACACAGTCCTGTGGAAATGTGCCACTTTTGCAAAGTGTGAAACCCACTCAAACCGACTCAAACCCATGCCCTGATGGACCCAGAGGAGCAGGAAGAACCTGAAAGTCCGGGTTTCTCCTTTCCCATCTGGACTTTTCTAATTACAGACTGAACACCCCAGGCATTAGCTTCTCATAAAAAAAGAAAAGTCTAGAATGGTTGCTCCACATGCACCAAGCTGCTGTGAAGACCAAATTAACTGATGTACGTGTGGGTCCTTTCCCAACCGTGGGAGATTCCTTATTAGCCGGCTTTCATCCTGCGGACGATCGCTTGTGAGAACTTCTCCTAAAGACCTATCAGTAGTGGGAGCAGGAAGACACTGAGACGATCTGCGCCTTGTGGGAAGGGACATGAAAGTAGAAAGTCTAACTTTCCATTTTTTCTAAAGGTTTTATGCTCCCTTAGTCCTGGGCAGGTCTCCTTCATGATCTTTGGCTTCCATGTTTGTTCATTACATAAGCAGACTTGCAGAAGCATGTATTAGAACTGAGAAACAAATCTCATCTTTGTGATGGCTCTTGCCTTTCAGGATCTTAGAGTAGCAGGGCTTAAAGTAGATGGAAGGGACTAGGGGTCACCTGGGCTAGACTTTCTTTTTGAATTGCCGCCAGTCTGCGACTTCACCTGAAGTAAAAACAACTTGGCTTCCTTTCCCACTAGCTTCTTCTAATACTCTTGAGATCAAAATTATAACTTTCTTTTCCAAGGGATCCTTTCAAAAATTTTATTTAAATATCTAATTATTTTTGTGCCATCTAAGAATCACTTCAGTCCACTATAAGCCCATAAAGGTCAGAGAAATATAGATATACATAGTTACTTAAGAATGATACTACTTAGGGCCAGCATATATGATTTATATAGGTTGTGGCCCTATAATTTATATAGATTGTGTTCCTCTAGGGAACACCATACATAATTTGATCTAGGTGAATGATGCCTTCTTCAGTTTTGCAATGTACAACTTATTCAACTGTACACAGCTGCCCTGGTGTTGCCTGTCTTTAAAACTTGTCGTCTTTGATATAGACAAGATAAAGAGATGTCCATTCCCCCTGTGGGGTGTGTGACTGGTTGCAAAGGGCTAGGTTTTCTGACTCCTCCTCATCTGCTGATTACCAAACCCACAGACCAGCTCCCACAGGATCAGGATCTACGAGCGAGAGGACTACAGGGGCCAGATGGTAGAGATCACTGAGGACTGCTCCTCGCTTCATGACCGCTTCCACTTCAGTGAGAGCCACTCCTTCCACGTGCTGGAGGGCTGCTGGGTCCTGTACGAGCTGCCCAACTACCGCGGACGGCAGTACCTGCTGAGACCAGGGGACTATAGGCGCTACCAAGACTGGGGGGCCACGAGTGCCCGAGTGGGCTCATTGCGGAGAACCGTGGATTACTATTGAAGTGTTTGTACTCTACCCTGTTCTCCATCTGGAAACTAATAAAATATTTCCTGTGTGTTTGATGCAATTATGTGGTCCTGTTTGCCTTTTAGGCTCAGGAGAATGCAAGCTGGGAATAACATGGATTTGCTTACACATATCAGTGGAAAGGGTGGTATGGGGTAGCAGTTGAGAGCACAGCTTCTGGAGTCAAATGCCTTGTCCAAATCCTTACTAGCTGTAGGTGATGGGGCAAGTTCTTAGCATTTCTGTGCCCCAGTTTCTCAACTTGTAAAACTCAGGGTAATAATATTCTTCATCTCATAACGTTATGATGTGGATTACATGAGTTTTTATTTTAGAGTCACTGACATAGTTTAGCTTTGCATATAGTGGCTTCTAGGAAGGTGGTCTATAAGCTTGCTGGCAGAACCCCTCATCACCTTCTTAGTACTCTTCCTTAGTAGACATCTCTTTTGGAGATTGTATTAAGTGGGACAGTTGAGTGATAGAGTTAGATAAGTTTGCTAAGATAACCGTGTCTGATATGACTTAGGTCTTAAACATATGTCACTGGGTGAATAGATTTATTATTTATGTATCCAGAGCATAAATACAAGAAAGAGGTGTCACGTAAGCAAATAACCCAAATGACTCTTCCAAACATTTTTCTACTTACGAGAGGTACAGAGCACTCAGGTAGTGTGTGCACTGATAAGAATGAGCACGGAGTGACAGAAGTAAAGGCAGGTGGTGCATGATCAGGAAAGTAAAATGCAATCACGGCAGATGAAGTTCCTCAAATGAAACCTACTTAGGTATTTTATTACATCACAAGATTTTAAGTGTAAATACTAGACTTCTCCATTTCAGAGATTTATCATGTATGTGAGAAAAAACAAATTTCTTCCTAGCTTAGGGGTTTGTCTCATGGTAAAAAATGGCAACATCTTGTTGAAATATGGTCTTGGGGAGCTGAAGGGCCATTATTATGAAAGAACCCATGCAAGCAATTTTCTATTTAAAAAAAAAAGAAGAAGAAAGAAAAGAAAAGAAAGAAAGGGAATATGTTCAGCTAGGAAATATATTGTTTCCCAAACCTCAAACATTAGAGGAATAACGCAGTCAGATTATTTATGCCTAACATTTTATTTCGCTAACACCCATGCATGCTCCAAGGTATGTGGACAAGCTCTATGGACATTTAAGTCCGTGCTGACCAACACATCAGTCACTGGCACATGACAACTCTGAAAAATTGAAACGAGCTTTGTCCAAAACAAAGCTGTCACCAGATGTCAAAGACTTAGTGTAAAAAGTAGAATATGAGGGGCGCCTGGGTGGCTCAGTGGGTTAAAGCCTCTGCCTTCGGCTCAGGTCATGATCCCAGGGTCCTGGGATTGAGCCCTACTTCGGGCTCTCTGCTCAGCAGGGAGGATGCTTGCCCCTCTCTCTCTGCCTACTTGTGATCTCTCTCTCTTTCTCTGTCAAATAAATAAATAAAACCTTTAAAAAAAAAGTAGAATATGAAAGATCTCATCATTTTCCATGTATATTTAAGACTGAAATGATAATAGTTGGGTCTATTAAGATAATTTTATCTTTTTTTATATTTTTATATTTTTAAAATATTTATATATATTATATATATTTTATATAGTTATATCTTATATATATTTTTTATAATTTTATATTTTTAAGGTGGTTACTCAAAAATTTAAGATGACCTTTGTGCTTCTCATTACATGTCTGTTGGGCAGACACCCAAGCTGGGAAGATGAGCGGTAATTCGTTTTCAGATACGGCTCAGCCTGAAACTGAGTGATAGGAAATGAAAATGAAGAGATGGCAGAGAACACGTGAAAGCTTGATATAGTCATCAAACGTGCAGTCTCTCATGGGGAGATAATGAAGTTATCACTGTCACCTTTCACAGACCGAGGCCCTGGGGAACTAGGTCCCGGCCTCATCTCATCACGTGGCTCCTCCACTAAGTACACTGAGTTGAGGTTCTGACGATAAATATGAATCATCCTCCATCCTACAGGCACAAGTTCCTCCTCTACTCCCTCTCCCTCTGCGGTGACGGTCCTTCCGCGGCAGCAGTCTCATTCTGGAAGCTGACACCTTTGCCTCCCCTTCTAGATTCTAAACCTCGAGAGCTAGGAAAAATGTCGCAAACGTATCTGTATCTTCTGAAGGATCAAGCAGAATATGCCTGGTGCAAAATAGGCCCAGTGATGTGGAGCAAACATATTCATAAAAGGAGAAAGTGTATGTGAACCAATAGTTTCTGCAGATTGGATCAGAGAGCGATACATTGAACATTCTTTTCTGGCAATAGGGCCTCGATATCAGGGAGGGAGGAGGGATAAATCTAAATGCCCCGGGTGGCCAGGAAGGTAACGAGAATGTGAGGAGCTGCTAGAACAGAGTAAACAGAGGCTGGAGGCATTTAAGATTAACTGGAAGGTACACGTCCCACCTAAAGGCATCATGACTCAACCCGTTTAAAACACATGGAAAATGTGATCCAGCTGAACCTAAGGGGTGCTCCTTGGCCACCTCTGCACAGACACAATCTACCCTAAAAAGAATGCTTCAGGCAAAAAGAGACAGGTTTTCACAAAGGATGACCTCTGGGGACCTTTAAGTCCCACCACTGTCTGGTGGCTATGGGATGTCCGTTGACTATGGCTGATTTCTCATGTGTTCAATTCATTAACCACAGAGACCAAATAGAACCAGATTCTCCAAGTTAAAAGCAAAGATTTCCATTAACTAAGAGCTATTGGCAGACAGACCAGAAGCTGAGCTACTACCTCAGTGCAATTAATTTCTTTCTTTCTTTCTTTCTTTCTTTCTTTCTTTCTTTCTTTCTTTCTTTCTTTCTTTCTTCTTTCTTTCTTTCTTTCTTTCTTTCATCATTTAGATAATTCGTTTTTTTAATTTAATTTAATTTTATTTTATTTTATTTTCAGTGTTCCAAAATTCATTTTTTATGCACCACACCCAGTGCCCTATGCAATACGTGCCCTCCTTAATACCCACCACCAGGCCCACCCATCCCCACAACCAGGCTCATCCAATCCCCCAGCCCCCTCTCCTCCAAAACCATCAGTTTGTTTCTCAGAGTCCACAGTCTATCATGGTTTGTCTCCCCCTCTGAATTCCCCCAATTCACCTCTCATCTTCATTTCCCAATGTCCTCCGTGTTATTCCTCTACAAGTAAGTGAAACCATATGATAATTGACTCTCTCTGCTTGACTTATTTCACTCAGTGCAATTTCTTATGCAGCCTCGTCCAGCCTGAAGTTTGCATCCTGACAAGATGGTAATAGAAGACATGGCAAGTATCTTTTCCCTGAGGGCCTTCCATTTTAGCTCTGTCCTGTCCTTCTCCTGGTCCCACAGCTCCTCTGATGCAAGGAAACAGAAATGTCACTTCCAGTTGAACCTATTCGTCACAGGAAGTGAATTCGTGCTGGAGTTTGCGAAACTCTGCCCCATTATGCCACATTCTCGACACCCCTGCCTTCTTAGCCTTGGCCGTTCTCCCTGGATAGCATCAACGAAAAGCTTACCACTTTCAGCACCACTGAGGTGTAATTTTCCAGTCTCATATGTCATTTCCCTTCTGGTATTGCAGAAAATAGAGTCTGCATTTTTTATTCACCTTTTTACTTTTGTAAGATACATATGAGGGGAAGAAAATTATCTTGTGCTATGTATTCACACCATACTTTTGTCTTGCAATGAACATAAAATGAAGGGATGTCCTCAGAGTCAAGGCAGGGAGTTCATCACCTGAACAGAGTGGTCTTGAAAAGCCCTTGATGAATAGACCCAGTGTTAGAGACTTGGGAAATTTCTTCATAGAGATGATAGTTGAACCTGTACAATTATCTAGCACATCCAAGGAGAGTGTGGGAGAGATGAGGGATCCCAGATTAGAGAAACTCCTAGTAAGTTGAGGAGAAACAAATTATTTAAGAAAATGAATTAAAAGGAACCAGTTTGAATTCAAGATTGCTGGTAATATTTTGTTCAACTATTTGAAGATTTGTTAAACCAAGGATTATATCGCAAATTTCTATGCTTTAAAACAACTTTAGTCAGTTCTTGGAGATTTTTGTTTTGTTTTGTTTTTGCTTTAATTTAAAATTCATCTTCATTCAATCATGGCTGCACTGGATTATTTGTAAGAGAAACTCTTATAAATGAGGTAATATGAGGACCAACATTAAAGTATCATTTAGGGGTATCTGTGTGGCTCAGTCATTAAGCATTGGACTCTTGATTTTGGTTCATGTCATCATCTCAAGATCATGAGATCAAGTGCCATGCTAGGCTCTGCACTGGGCATGGAGCCTACTTAAGATTCTCTCTCTCTCTCTCCCTCTCCCTCTGCCCCTCTCCCCGCGCATACTCTTTCTCCCTCCCCTCAAAAAAAAAAAAAAAAAGGTGTTGTTTAAACCAATGACTATACATACATACACTAAAAACTATGGAGTCATTTAAAAATATCGTGTAAACTGGGTCACCTGGGTGGCTCAGTCAGTTGAGTGACTGACTCTTAATTTCAGCTCAGGTCTAGATCTCAGGGTTGTGAGAGACCAAGCCCCTCACTGGGCTCTGTGTTCAGTGCAGAGTCTCCTTGAGATTCTCTCCCTCAGCCCCTCCCCCCTACTTATGCCCATGCATGGCACATGCTTTCTCTCTTTCTCTCTAAAATAAATAAATAAATCTTTTTTAAAAAATTGTGTAAAATGGATCTCATATCCAAAGATAAATCTTTAAAATAGATTCAGTACATTAAAATTATGTGTGTGCACACAAATGCATACAAAAATTGATCTAAAATATGCATGTATATATGTGTGCTCAGAAGAAATATGACCAAAACATACTCATATGATATTAAAGTGGTTGTCTCTATATAGATGAGATTGTGTCTTTATTTTCCTTTTCTATATTTTTTGATTCTTCTCTTAAATTATGTATTGTTTTTACAAAAAAA